CCTCTCTCTTTTGAGGCAGGGTTTCTCTTTAGCCCTTGGGACTGAATGTGTCACCCCTTCTCTGAGACATGTCTAAGCAGATTTGAGTTAAAGCAATTTACTTTTTACAATGTTTTTTTTTTTTAAATTAACAATCAAAGGAAAAATTGTCAGTATGAAAAATATAGTAAATGAAATACAAATACTAAGTTTGGTAAATATCAGATAACAGACTAGAACATTTTTTGGGACACTGTTACAAACTCTAGTGACAAAGTCTCATATTTTGGCTCATAATTTAAATGGAATGGAGTAACTACTGTATATGCCCTCCTTGTTGGTCATAGTAAAATATAAAGGAAATTATGGGGAAAGTAAAATTTTAAAAATGTTTTTCCAAATAATACTAATGTCAAGAAATAAATTCAGAATACACTATTGAAAATAAAACAACACAAAGTTAAATTAAAAGTAGCCAAAGCAGTATTCATGTATTTCCTGCCATTCATCTTTAAAAACAAAACCAGGTAAATTTGATAAATCTGATATCTAATAAATTCTCCCCAGGTGCCTGCCCTGAGGAGATTTCTACCAGGGTCCAGAATAGAAGCTACAAGCAGCTACGGATTCTAATCTGAGGGATATAAAATGAATCTAAGCACACTGAGTTCTTTAGTCCATTCACTTTATTCTTCTAAATTCATTCACTTTATTCTTCTAAGTCAATTCTATCTACACAGTTTCTTTTCTGTTCTCTTACTTAGCTCCTCTCAGTCCCTCCTGCTCTCAGTCCCTTCTGCTGTTCTCTCATCTCTGTCTAGTTCTTTCCATCTTCATTCTCATCTTGTTCTTCTCAATCAATTCCCCCAGTGCTGTGCGGGAACCAGTATGTATACCCAAGCAGTAGTTCTTTGGCAAAGCAATTCAAGGGTTGCAGAGAGAGGTGATAAGGATCCACACATAAAGCAATAAATGTCAGCTTCCAATTACAACCCAAAAGGGGAGTGACTAAAGGGAGTTCTCTGGTAGAATCATCTAAAGCATAAGATCAATTAGGGAATCTAGGAATAGCACCTGGCTGAGGAGGAATTAAAATTTGATTTGCACAAGAAAGAAGCTTGGCATCTATCACCTGCCTCACCTTGAAGGCAATCTCCTTGGGTCAGTGGGAAGTAACTAACTCAGTAACTAGCAGATGGCTAAAACATCATCCCAGGAATGTGAGCAGTAAATCCACCTTAAATTAGGGTCTTGTGTAAATAACTCCGGGGTGAAGATAAGGAGTTGAGGATTTAATTGCTAGTGGTTATTTTCTCTAGCTGTGGGTGAGATGAGCTAATGTTTATCTATGTGCAGTTTTGTCCTTGGAAAAAGGTATCTTTGCTGAAATACTTTTGTCTGGAGAATGGCCCTGGCCAGATTTATGTAAAATAAGCACAGCTGGGGACAGTTATGCAATTACCCCAATGTATAGGGAAAGTTGTGCCCAAGATTGAGATGCAATCGTGAGATCACATGTACACATAACATGGAGATGCACGGTAAATGGGGAGAATCATGGCTGTTATTGCACAAGAAGTTTGCAACAAGAGACAGCCACTTCATTCAAAAGGCAGTAATTCCATAACACCTTGCATGATGGTTTCTTCTAACAGAACCCTTAGTTCTGATAGGTTGACCTTCTGAACTCTAGTTGTCACCTGCTGTATACTCCCATGGTTTTTTGCTACCAGCGGCTCTCAATAGATATCTGTTGAATTTTAATTTTCTAACAGCCATAGTATGTAGCGTAGGAAGTTTAAGCCTGTGTGGAATGTAGCACCTAACATGCTGGAACATGCCACAGCCTAACAGGCTAACTGACCAGAAGCTGTTTCTTTTGAAAACATGGGTACTTTGTAAAATACACATGCATGTCAGACATCAATTCTGTTTTTATATTTCAAAGCCAACCATTAATTTGTTCTTACAAATGTCAAATCTTAAAACGTTCTGGTGGATATAATAGAGGAAAAATAATATAGTAAGCCCAATTTAATGTAAAAACAAGAAAGATGTAACAGGCAGTAACAGAGTTAAACTGATTTGGGGAGAAACTGCACAAGAATTTTAAAGAAATTCTAGACAAAAACACAGTCAGTACAATTATTAAAACCTAAAAAAAAAACCAAAAAAAAAAAAAAAAAACAACAGCAAAACTAAAGAAAATGTGAGAACTGCTTATTCTTCTAAAGGTCACTTTCTGCTTAGCCTGCTGTGACATTCTGCAAAGCTGCTTCTTACAAATAATCATCCTCACTTTAAAAATCTCATCAAGTATGACAATGTCAGTAAAGCTCACTTTAGTTGACAGGTATAAAAGTATTGACATTCACTATAATGTACTGAAGTCATTATTTGCCAAAATCATATTCATTGGCAAGGAAATTGCCAATATAGCATAGTAATATAGCCACTAGAAATAATCAAATAGTTATGTCCATATAAAAGATACATTTAAAGACCAGGGGTGATGGTGTCTGCCTCTAATCTCAGCAAGAGGCAGGTGGCTCTCTGGGAGTTCAAAGCCAGCCTGGTGTATATAGTAAGATACTGTCTCAAAAGTTGAAATAGGACTAGAGAGTTTTCTCAGTAGTTAAGATCTCTTAACCACTTGCTCTTACAGAGGACCCAGGTTTGATTCCCAGCACCTACATGGCTGCTCACAACTGTCTGTAACTATAGGACCAAGGGATCTGATGCCTACTTCTTACCTTCACAGACACCAGGAATACACATGGTGTATATATGTGCATGCAGATAAAACATTCATACACATGAAATCTTTAAAACAAAATTATATATTTGAAATTTAGCATACATTCATGCTTTAAATAAAAACCTTGAACAAGTGGCAATCCCTTAATGGTATCTGTTCATTGCCAAGAACAAAATATTTATTATAAAATGAGAGACATTTTCTAAAATTATAAAACTTTAATTTTTGTTAAATGTGATAAGGGAAAGTCATTAGCAATAGCTGGAAAGTAATTCACAAACTTTCAAAAGGAATACCTTCATATATTTGTGGGTATGGCTGTTTGAGATAAGACATATAAATGACATTACGTGTGCTAGTTTCTTGTTAAAAACAAATGAGTAAATTTTATTAATAGGAGACTATAAACTTACATAAAAAACACAAATTAAAAAATGAATAGAAAAAGGCAAAGCAATAGGAATCTATTTATCTAAGATGGGTTCATTGTTCTAAAAGAGCAATGGCTATTCCTTTGTTTAGTTAATAAATTATTTTGTTACTAAAATATCCCTAAGGTACCTTCTATAACTCAATAAAATTATTCTAAAATGTATTTGAGAAGTAAATCTATAAAAATATGAAAGCATATTTATTTTTAAATGTTTTAGGTAATATTCACCCAGGAAAACCTTGGGCCTTTGATACAGTAATAATAAGTAAAAACTACAGCACTGGTTCCAAGAATAAACTTACAACAGAGTTCACAGGAGTAAAAAAGAAAATCAACATAGGTGAGAAGTGTAGCATGTTAAAGGGAACCAGAGAATAAATATTATTTCAGAAAGTTTCAGAAATAATTTGTTGTGCATCATTCAGAATAAACCACTACTGATGGTTTAATGCATATAGCACAATGTGACAGCGACAGAAGTATGTCACTGTGCAGTTACCAGAAGTGAACATATGATATAAAAGTCTAACTATGGCAATAGCAAACAGGACTTTTGTCCATTCTTTTCAGCAGTATGTATTCGTATTAGAGAGTGCCAGTGCTGTGGATTTTAAAAACTCATGTATTAAAAAATGATGAGGTAAATGTTGCTAAATGGTAGAAGAAAATATTTTGAAATTTTTTACCATAAGGAAATGATAAATATTTGCAGAAATAGATTTAACCTCATTTAAACATTACATAATATATAAATGCATTTTGGTATTGTACTTTACTCCATTAATGTGTACAGATTTTCTACTCTGTATCAGTTAAAAAAAACAAGTTTAAAATTTTCTCTTCTACAGAATTCCTATATCTTGTCAATGACGGCAATACTGAATATGACAATTTTTTTTTTTTTTTTTTGGTTTTTCGAGACAGGGTTTCTCTGCGTAGCTTTGCGCCTTTCCTGGAGCTAACTTGGTAGCCCAGGCTGGCCTCGAACTCACAGAGATCCACCTGGCTCTGCCTCCCAAGTGCTGGGATTAAAGGCGTGCGCCACAACCGCCCGGCCCTTGAATATGACAATTTTTAAAGATCTAACTTTCTCTATCTAACTGGAGCATCAGAGATGAGGCTATACTCCTCCTCCTAAAGCCCTCATCTTGGTACCCGAAGACCTCTGTCCATCTAAGGGAAATGGTCCACGTTTGAATATACTCTCTCTTGGCTACTTCAGGATGCTAGATTCATAACTTTGATAGGTCTTACCCCATAGGCACTTCCCATTACATCTTGCCTCTGTCCTTGGATTCATTTGAACAGAAGCTAAGCTGGAAAAAACATTTTAAGTGCCCCCTCCCAAAAGACACATCTATAACTTATATAGAACTTAATTGCAAAATAATTTTAAAAACTTTTAATAACCCATTGTCCAACAGGAAACATAAAATAAGTCACAGAACTCTGAGTAGATTGTTGGATGATGTTTAGAATACCAGATGTGAAATAGAGACAGAAATCATGGGCTGGACAGATGTCCCAGTGGCTAAGAGCATATACTGTTCTTCCAGAGGGCCCAAATTCAGTCCCCAGCACACACATAAGGTGGCTCATATCTTTATGTAACTACAGCTCCAGGTGATCCAATGCCTTCTTCTGACCATCATGGCCAACTGTACTCACAGACACATACACCCTCATAGACACACATACATACACATAATTAACAATAAAAATAGATCTAAGAAAATAAAAATGAGAAATTGTAAAAATACCATAGAGACAGAAATGGGAAAACAGTGCTTTAAAGATTGCTATGAGGCATGTATTTGAATAAAGGAATAAAATAAAATGGTTTTAAGACCTGTATTTTAAACAATGATATTATGGTCATAATATTATATGCAACATGTTAATAATAATTTTTTTAATAAAAGGAATTTGAAGATGCCAAACTTTCTGCTGCCATCTCTGAAGTAGTTTCCCAGACACCTGTGCCTAGCACCCACGCAGCTCCTAGCACCCACGCAGCAGCCCCTCCGCCTGATACTGAGGTGAGCAACATGCCGTCCTTGGGAAATAGTCTTAAAACAGCAACAAGAAAGAAAACGAGGCACCTGTTTAGCACAAATGAAAACAGGAAAAATTATTAGAAAAATCCAGTACTTTGTATTACAGAAAAACTTAGATTGGTGATTCTGGGAAATGACAAATCCTGTCTGTGAGGGGACAAAAGGAGACAACATGAAAATATTTCACTTCCAGCCTAGGAACTTAATGTTGCTGTTAGTCTATTGTAAGCACGGTGATGTGTAATCTCTCTTTCCATATGTGTGTGTCTGTTTAGAATGTCAGTAAAACTAAATGAAAAGTTTTATTTTAATGAATTATATGTGAGCATCAGAGTTAACTAAACTATCATCATTCATGTAAACTTTCTTTGCTGTGTCTAACAGCCTGTCAGAAAAATTATATATGTGCGGAGTATCCTGAGAAATATTTTTAAAAAGCTATATGATTAAATCACCTGGGGAGCCTGTTCCTCGTGGCTTTACCCAGCAGGTCCGCATAGAGGATGATCAGGACCACGGGCCTGAGTGCAGGTGTCTGAGATGGTCTGCACTTTGCTATGCTGGGGGAGGAGGTCTTTTGCTCCACCCCTTGGCGTCTCTATAAAAAACCTGGGGCAGAGACAGGGCCCGTTGGAATAGGTTCCAGGCCCTCTCGAGGCTATCCTTTATTTTCTATCTGTTTATCTCTGCGAGATTCTCCACTATAAATCCTTCTATCTAATATTTCCTGCTGATTGCACTCAAGAAAACTCTGGGGAACTGTGGGGGTGGTGGGTAAATGCCCCACAATCACCCTTGTAGGAAAGCCTTTTTTGAGAAGGACCTAGAAAAAACATAAATATTACTGAGAATAGCAGAGAAAGGTTCACCATGCTTTCTTTTTTTTTAATTAAAATTTTTCATTTATTTTACATACCAACCACAATTTCACCTCCGTCCTCTCTTCCCTGCTCCCTGCCTCTACCTCCTGTCTTATGCTCCCCCATGCCCATCCACTTCTCAGTTCAGAAAGGGGCAGGCCTCCCATGGCATGGCATATCAAGCTGAAGCAAGACCAAGCTCTTCCCCCTGCATCAAGGCTGGACAGGCATCCCAGCATGGGGAATAAGTTCCAAAAAGCCAGCTCACACACCAGGGACAGGTCCTGATCCCAGTGCTAGGGGCCCTACAAACAGACCAAGCTACACAACTGTCAGCCACATGCGGCCCTAGGTCAGTTCCATACAGGCTCCCTAGCTGTCAGTCCAGAGTCCGTGAGCTCCCAGGAGCTCATGTCAGCTGTCTCTGTGGGTTCCCCGTCATGCTCCTCACCTGCCTTGCTCATACAACCTCTCCTTCCTCTCTTCAGCTGGCTTCCAGTCCAGGACCTGGCTTCCATTCATTCTTTAGCAATGTATTTTAAGCAGTTAGCTTAGCTTCCCTGTGCTTGTTTCTTCTGAAATATACTGTTGTGTTACCCAGAGGATTCCCATGGACAGCAAATAGGACTGGATAAAGTATGATAGCACATTTTCAGTAATTGCAGGACACAGCCCAGCAGGGTGTCTTGTATAATACAGACGTTAGACATATTTTAAATTGAATCTGTATGGATATAAACTAAACTCACATAGGTATAGACAGCCAACATTTTGAACCTATTATGTTAAGATAGTTTGGAATAGCTTTGTAGAACTTCACTACAATAACAAGATCAATAATGATGCATTATTTACTTACTGTTACTGAGTGTCAGTGCATAGTCCTCTCAACAGTATGACTTGTAGGTATCACTCAGTTTTCCTAGCTGAGAAAACTCAGGCTTGGGAGGTGAATTGCCTTACCTGAATTGAACAGTAAACAAATGTAAAATGAAATGTTGTAGTGGTTAGCTTGACTACAGTGATCTGGTGGATTTTTTCCCCAAGAATACCTTCCACCGCTTTCTTCAGTTTAGCTTTCATGGCCTTCCTGGAGGTAAAAAAAGAGATTCTCCACTAGTTCCAAAGTTCTCTGAAGTTTTTTAGGAACCCACATAATGTGTCAGAGACACTCTCTTCACTCAGTGACATCAACTGTACTTCTGTGGAGTTGTGTGCTTCAAGAAATGGGGACATAATGGCACTGAGTTTTTTTTTTTTTTTTTTTTTTTTTGTTTTTTCGAGACAGGGTTTCTCTGTGTAGCTTTGCGCCTTTCCTGGAGCTCACTTGGTAGACCAGGCTGGCCTCGAACTCACAGAGATCCACCTGGCTCTGCCTCCCGAGTGCTGGGATTAAAGGCGTGCGCCACCACCGCCCGGCGGCACTGAGTTTTATGGCTATACTTTGTCATGTCCACCCCTCCCCCAATCTGATCTTAGAGTAACCAAAGACAAATTCATGCTCTACTGAAAATTCTGCTCACTAGCCATCTGACTCTATCAGTGGATTAAAAAGGAAAGTGATTTTGTGTGTGTGTGTGTGTGTGTGTGTGTGTGTGTGTGTGTGTGTGTGTGTAGCCTCTAGGTAAGATTTAGGTCACTTATTTGTGTGCAGCCCCTGATGTTTCCACTAAAAGACTTCCTTAACCTGGTTGTATTTTCATGAGGCAGCTGGTTAGGGGAGGCAAACATTTTCAATGCTCTTTGTCTCTTCCACCATCAGCATATCTGTTCTCTGATGTCTATCCCTGTGACTTACTTACTATGTCCATACTAAAATGATGGGGTTGCTGGGTGAGTTCCATGAACAGTTTGGCTAACTTGTAACTAATTCAGAATTATTTATCTTTTAGCACAGAGACAAAGAACTCAGTGATGCCTTGGATGAACTCTCTGACCGTCTTGGGGAAAGACAGCCTGACCCAGATGAGAACAAACCAGTAGATGATAAAGTAAAGGTAAATGATAGTCCGTTACCCGCCACACAAAAGAAAGACACTCTCTGGCATTGTCTGGAGGTGGTGAACAGCTCAAGCATTCCATCTAATTTTCCTGTTTAATGGTGTAGTTTGCATTTCTTTTTTCTCACTAAAGATTGTTTGTGGTGCAGATTGCATTACAGGAAACATTCCTGTTTCCAGACTGAATTATAAAGCTATGTTTTAAGTTTTTTCTCTTCCAATATTTTTTTCCTGGTCTTACCTGGGACCATTACCCAAGGGCATATAACCCAAAGGAATATACTCGTTGAGTGGATACACTTTGTGTTCATAGTGGCAGAGATCACATGCTTAGCAAAGGTTTTCCTGCATCTCTTTTGCAAGCATAACTGAATCTGAATTCAAATTATATGTAAGAAGCTTTTCTCTGCAGAGGTATGTCTAGAAGGACACAATGAACTAACTGCACTATATTCAATGTGTATAAAAAACATTTATATTTAAGACACAATATTTAACAAGCCATTTTCACTGACTTGATCATATTTTAGAATCAAGAAATAACTGGAGTTGGGGAGATGGCTCAGTGGCTAAAGTGCTTGCCACGCAAGCCTTACAACATGAGTTCAAATCCTTGGTCATGTAGTATGAGTGTTCATAGTTCCAGCCCACACAGAGATTAGCGGCACAGACAGGAGAGCTGTTGGAAGGTTGTGGACCAGCTAGTCTGGCAAGGACATTGGAAAAGCAACAGACCCTGTATCAAACAAAGTGGAAGTGGAGGAATGACATTCAAGGTTGTTCTCCAACCTCTACATTCATGCTGTGCATGCCTCTGCACACACACACATGCACATGCACACACACACAAATCATACACACAAAAAATAAAATAATAAAAGAGAAGTAACTTTCTGAGCATCTGAAACAATGTCCCAAAGACAAGACATTGTCATTGTCATTCTCTCATCATTGTATGAATATTGAGATGAACTTAACTCATATTTTAAAAACTAAATTGTAGCTGGGCGTTGGTGGCGCACGCCTTTAATCCCAGCACTCGGGAGGCAGAGCCAGGCGGATCTCTGTGAGTTCGAGGCCAGCCTGGGCTACCAAGTGAGCTCCAGGAAAGGCGCAAAGCTACACAGAGAAACCCTGTCTCGAAAAACCAAAAAAAAAAAAAAAAACTAAATTGTAATGCTGCACAGAGATTAATCTGTCCTCCATTGAATCTGTGATAGAGACCAGGGAACCTCACAGGGCACGGTACCAGGATGGGCATGGTCAGTCTCTCCTGGCTTGCTCCTTTACAGTGCTTTAAAATAGAGCTGGAAATATTATCTCTCTGCCTGCCATGACATGGGGACCTGACTTTTAATATAAAAAGCAAAATTCAATCAGGAAAATAAATTTTATTCCTGTGGGCTTTTAGCTACCAGTAAGGTTTCTGAGGATAACTATTTGACCCTTTCATTTGAAAATTCACAGATCTGGGGTGACATAGAGAAGAATACGTATTCACATTTTTCAGCAACTCTCGGCTTACCATCTATTTTGTTGCTCTGTTTCTTATGTTTTGCTTTAGGAGAATACAATAACTGTAGTATCTGCACCTTGAATTGTATTTTGTAAGTGAGAAAGGAAATGAACATCCTTTTATCTCTTCAATGTTTATAGGAAAAAATTAAAGCAGAACATCGTGAGAAACTTGGAGAAAGAGATGACACTATCCCACCTGAGTATAGGCATCTCCTGGACAATGATGGGCAGGTAAACTAAGGCACACAGTATAGATTAGGCCACTGCTCTAACTTCACTGGAAGTGAATGGAACCTGCATTCTTACAGTGCATAAAAGCACATCATGACAGTCCTTTTTATGGCCCTCCAGAGGTGACAAGCAGGCTGTCTACCCCTCTGCTATATCTTCTTGAGATGGTCTTATTAGATACTCATGTTCTGAGCCCTGCTGTGAAAACACTGTTGAGTAATGCTTACTGGTTCTTAATAATGATTCCAAAAAATATATAGTTAAAAATTAATTTTTCAAGAAAAGTCTCTAAAAAGGACTGAAGGAATGAGATGTCAAAGGAAGCAGTCTGTGTATAAAGAGACCAGAGGAGGGGCAGTGGTGGAAAAACTTAGAGGACAAATAAACAAGACTGCCATCCCAGCCTGGCCTCCCTCCTTCAGTACCGCAGAGCCGGGGCAGACAAGGCCTCTCTGCAGTCACTGGTCTATTTCCCCATCACAGAGTCCCTAGATTTTCTTTTTCTTAAACCCATCTGACTGCTTTCCCTTTCTGTTTGGGGATGGACAAATCATCCTTCCCAGTCCTGCTCACAAATGGAGCAAGGGAGTCCAAGTTCCATCTGTATGCTCTGAAGCCTTTGGTGGGGCCTCAGTGAGTGCTGAAATAGGAGTCCTTTGTTTTGCTTACACTAAGTGTTCCTGGCAATTCTGTATCCTACTATCATTCACCGTCCCCCATGTTAATATTGCCATATCATCCTGTTTGCCATCACTGGAGGAGTTTCATTTAGTGTTCTCACCTTAAGAAGAATAAAATCCTTTAAGTTAGTGGTACTTGTAATTCCTCTCTAAAAAGAATCTTCAGATCTTTTGAAATACAATGAGCATCAGGCGTGGTGCAGGCCTATAGTCAGTTATTTGGAAGGATGAGCAAGAAGCATTGGAAGTTCAAGGCAATCCTGGGTAACTTAGAAAACAAAACAACAACAAACTGTAACAAAAGCAAAAACAAAACAAAACAAAAAAACAAGAAAGAAAAAAGAAAAGAAAAAGAAAAAAGATGGCTAGGAATGAAACTCACTGAGCTCTTGCCTGGAATGTACCAGGCTTTAGGCTCATTTCCAGTATGACCCAAACCAACCAAACAAAGAAAAAAAAACTCAAAGTATCATTGGTAATATTTTAAGTGGATATAAATCTTAATATCTAGTCACAGAAAATTTCTACATAGTCTCTGCGTCACTTCCAGAATCAAATCCTTGTACCCCTGTTACTATTGAAATGCCTGTGAAAATGAAGATCTGGGTTAGGTGCCAAGTTTATCAATTCTGTATAGTCCTTGAATAATATATTCTAAAAATACTGTCTTTGAACTGAGTGAGCCTATACAGAGATAATGTGGTTAAACGAAACTCTAACTTGTTTTTAAGGGCAAACCAGAGAAGCCACCTACAAAGAAATCAAAGGTAAATACTATGATATATACTTTCATTCTTTTTAGTATAGATGTAGCCTTCTTTTAAATTTTAAAGAAACTAAAATTTGTTAAGTATTTTTGTCCTGTGTCAATGTGTGCAGATAAACCTATATATTACTAACTCTAATTTATTTCTTGCAAGAGTCTCTTAAAAATAGCACCAGATTTCTGAGTAAGAAAACTTGTAGTAAAGAGTATAAAATGAACCAAGCATCGTGTTACATGCCTATAATCCCAACACTTGGTAAGGGAAACAGAAAAATACCAGGTTCATGGTTACATAGTGAATTTGAGGTTGGCTCAGGATACATGAGACTGAATGCTCAGGTTTTCATGCTTTTTGTCTCCTTTACATAGTTTAGTATTTTTAGGAAAATAAATGCCAGTGAGCTTTTCTTCTTAAACATATTTTACTGTTAAGTATGTGAGATGTTGCTCTATGGCAATCCCCTTGTGTTTCTACTAACATCTTAGAAGCCTGATCATGACCAGGACCCCATTGATGCCCTCTCAGAAGATTTGAATAGCTGCCCCTCAACTACAGAGACCTCACAGAATACAGCAAAGGTACTCTGCTTTTTCATACTTATTTCTTTGAAATACACATGAGCATGTATGTATACATCTATACAATTTTTATAGTGTAGAATGAATAGAATAATGTTATAGAGAACCTTAAAGGAAAGTTATAATTCTACTGCCCACAGCATTATTGTCATATTTCCTTGTCTTTGTCAATTTTTACAAAATTGTTCTCATGCTTCGTTTATTACACATAATTTAACAGAATTCCATCAAGTTTCTGCCTGTGGCCTAAAGCTTCCAAAGCCATCATTTTTGTTTGTTACATGGTTTTGTGAGTGACAGTAGGTCGGTCTGTGCTCAATTTTCATGACAGTCTTTGACCCCCTAGACTGTCTTCCACTCATTTGTTCTTTGGAATTTCCTCCTGTCCCTCTTGGTGCAGCTGGCTGACTCAGGCTCTGCAGGGCCATTTCTGGTTTTTGTCTCCTCTTAGGCCATCCTGGCAGCCTTTGCACAGTCTCCCTTCATGTGGTCACCTGTCACCAGCTACCTATTTCCCATTGAGCTGGGTACTGCATCTATAGTTGGATCTTTGATTTCTGTGCTCAGATTAGCAGAGTGCTAATATTTAATACGTGCTCAAAACATGTAATTTGAATTGAATAAAAAAACTAAACCCATTGTTTTGTTCCATTAATATGTTAGTAAAATAAATGAAAACAAATGTGTAATTCAGCAGTTGAGGTTCACTTAACCTATATAGCACATGTCTGAAATCACACAAAAGGGTGGATGTTGCCGTCTGTTTGCTGTTGTTTTAGCTGCTTTTAAACACAACACATGATCATGCCCTCCATACCAAGTGATTTAATTGACAGACTCCTTCAGCCTCCTGCTTCTTTCTTCTAGAAATGCTTACTTGATGTTTCTGTCTCCTTTCCTCTTTATTCTCTTGTCTCACTTTATTTTCCCATTACTTTTCCCTCCTCTCCTGTTTTCTCTCCACTTGGTTCCAACCCATTCTTTCCTTTTGTTTTCATGCAGTCTAGACAGCTTGTAACAGTTCTTATTGTTAGATTCATTTCTCTGCTAAGGCTGAAAGCAGGAGTTTGGGTTTTGGTTTTTGCTTTCCTCCATGGCACATAAAAGTCAGCCCAAGTAAAGAAAAGCTCTGAATTTTTTTTTTAACCTCTGGTTTTCTAAAATAAAATTGTAGGTATATATTTGGGGTTCACATGACATGATGAGATGTATTAAACACCAGTGTGAACCACAGTTTTCTTATTTGTAGCCTTTTATAGGTGGAAGTTTCTCTCCTGCCTGCCTGTTCCCAAATACCCAGCAGCCACTTCTTAAATAATTGAGTTGGAGGCTAATATTATTTATAAATGCTCAGCCAGTAGCTCAGGCTTATTGCTAACTAGCTCTTATATCTTTCTATTATTCTATATATCACCATGTAGCCAGTGGCTTACCAATACTTTCACATCTTGCATATTGGGTGACTTGCTGGCATCTCCCCAACTCTGCCCTTCTCCTGTATTTCTGCTTCTATTTCCTACCTTCCTCTATCCTGCCTTGCCATAGGCCAAACCAGCTTTATTAACTAATGGGAGCAAAACATATGTACAGACTAAAATATGAGTATATTCACTATTATTTTAAAAATCAGTACCAAGCTACCCATTTTTATTCAGTTAAATTGGGAATGTGCAGGCTGTTTAACAAGAGTGTCTGGATTCATCTGATGACCAATGTCTCCATGGATTGATGATGATACTAGCCTCATTACATTTCCATTGCTATAGGAGAAGAGCAAGAAGATGGGTTCAAGTTCCAAAGCACCCAAGAATGGAGTGAAAACAAAGGATTCCTCCAAGGTAAACATGGCCATAAACATATCAGTATTAGTTTATCAATTGCAAGGAAGTAAGATTTACTTGTTAGTGATTTAGTTAGTTATTGTAAGCTATTTAGAGCTAAAGTCTTTTAACCAATAGCTACCTCCTTGCATGCTTTACTAAAATAAATAAATACATATGTATATAAATAAATAAATAAAATGCATCTCGTGGGGGCTGGAGCAATGGCTGAGCTGTTAAAAGTACTGACTGCTCTTTCGGGGATCTGGATTTGGTTCCCAACACCCACATGTGGCTTACAGCCATCTGGAACTCCTGTTCCAGGTGATAGAATGCCCTCTTCCAGCCTTTGGGGCACAAAGCATACACGTGGTGCACAGATATACATGCAGGCAAAATACCAGTACACATAAAATTTAAAAAAAAGTTTTTAAAAGCTATTTAAGTTGAAGCTTTAAAGATAGGAACACATGTGCATATATAATGTTTTTAAGTAACCGGTGCTTTGAAAATATAAATGTGTCATTCACACAATTCAAGTGGCATGTGGTTCTTGCTTTTATTACAGTATCACCAGAGCATGTGGCTTACATAGATTTTAGAACAGGGAATTTATTCTAGTTTGACTTCTGATGCAATAATAAAACACCCTGACTAAAAGTACCTTACTGGAGGAAAGGGTTTATTTGGCTCACACTTCAGATCACATTCAATCATTGAGAAACCATGGAAATAATGCTGCTTGCTAGCTCTCTCACAGACCCATGCTGAGCCAGTTTTCTTATACAAGCCAGGCCCACTTGCCCAGGGACTAATGTCGCTCACAGTGGGCTCAGCCCTTTTACATCAATTACCAGTCAAGACAGTCTTACACAGACATGCCCACAGACCAGGCTGAACTGAACAATCTCTCAACTGAGAATCCCTTCCAATCCCAGTGCCTCTAGGCAATGTTAAATTGACCAAATTCTAACTAGGACAGAAGGTAATTTGTAAAGTTAGGAAAGATATTAGAGTTTTCACAGTCCAATGGATTAGTTGCACAGTATTTGTGAGGGAGATTAGTAAATAATGAGACAACTCATATAATGACCAGCATTTTGTCACTTATACTTGAGATAATTAAGTTACAAGGAGAAAAGATTGATTCTGATCAATTTAGGGGCTCCATCTTATGATCGATTGTCCTATTGCTTGGTTCCCCTGGCTGGGGCAGTGCTTTATAACAGGAGTCTGTTGGGGGGCAAACTGCTCACCTCTTAAGTCAGGAAACACAGAAGAGAATGGGATACCACAACTCTGAGAGAGATTAGGGCATACCACCAATGGCCTAAGGACATCAGATAAGGCCTTGCCTTGTAAAAGTCTATAACACCCCTGGTAGTTCCTGCCTGAGGCCAAGAATTTTACTCATGGCTCTTTGAGGGGCATTCAATATCCAATTCATGTAGCAGTACATAACTTTCCATGTTGTGCAAAGTAGAATGAAAACCAATGGGTGGAAGTTACAGGTTCAAACTAAGTGTTGAGAACTGGGCATATGTAGCACAATAGTTGGACACTTCCTATCACTAAAATCCCTCAAGCTGGAGTCAGGAATGGATAATTACTCAAAGAATTTTTACGTTCCTTCCAATTTCATGTATAACTTTAACTACAATCCTCTGACCAGGAGAAATTAAACTAGACCTTCATGGTTTAGTTGCATCAACACTTTGGTTTTTTTTTCTTTTCTCTTTGAGGTTATAATATAATTAAATGATTTCCCCCTTCTCTTTCCTTACTCCAAACTCTGATATATTATCCCTCCTTGCTCTTTTTCAAATTCATGGCCTCTTTTTTCATTGATTGAATCAGTACTTCTTAAGAACAAGCTAATGAAATCTTCATGTAATTGATTTTATCACAGGATGCAAGAACATTGTTTCTCAAATAGGTTAAATTATTAATCTCTTATCATTTAATTATAATTATAAAGGGGCCTGATCAACCCATTTACAGAAAATAGAAATTGTAATGGCTCCACACAGTGGAAATGAGTCAGTTGGCCCCTTCCCAGTGCAGAAGAGGATGGGGTCATTGTGGGATGGTGAGATGCTGACCTTTTAGTTCCAGAAACATTTTAAAGTTTTCTTATAGTGGCCAATAAAAACATAAGTTTAAAGTGGAAAATTTAGGGTTAGTTAAGACTACTTATAGCTTATAACTTAAAAATAGAGTGAAAGGACAGGCTGTGTCAGATGAAGAAAAGCATAGACGAGGCTCTTTTATCCCCCCACCTCTCACCCCACCCCTTTATCTTCTGTTTGTTTAGTCCCTAGGAGCCCATTTTCTCATTAAACTTTCCTGGTGAAGCAGGGTTGAGCACTGATTTAGAAATGAAAGCACTGACTCTAGCTTTGCTTCCCCCTTAGAAGACAGAAGTGTCCAATCCAAAGGCTGACGAAAAGGAAAGCTAAACATTTGGTAAGTTGAGATTTCATGGTAGGTAGCAATAACTGTCCCTTCTGGCAACCTGCATTATGGGGAGAGACATGAGGTTCATCTCTTGAGTACTTTATACTTGTGGACTACTTTCAGGAAACACAAGTTGCAAAGTTCAAAGCATTCCATTCTCCAAAAAGCACTAAAGGGATTATCGTGTTACTAGAATTTAAAAAAGAATTATATGATGAAGAACTCTTTAAGGAGCTGAGTGGTGATTGCACACACCTTTAATCCCAGCACTCAGGAGGCAGAGGCAGGTGGATCTCTGTAAATTCAAGGCCAGCCTGGTCTACAGAGTGAGTTCCAGGACAGTCATGGCTACACAGAGAAACCCTGTCTTGGAAAACAAAAAATAAAACAAACAAACCAAAACCTTTTAAGGTACTCAGACTTTTAAGATTTTTAAAGAAAATCATACATCAGAAGCTAGTGGAATCTTTGAAATCCAGATGTTTTTGTACAGGTTTTTCTTGCAAAGCAAATTAACATATTACAATTTGTAGCAAAAAGGCATTAATTGGTATCTGAAATACCAATCATACTGAGTGGTGGAAATGATAGAGTTTGGAAATAGAGACAGTTTAAACTTTTTAACCTTGTTTATTTGTCTCAATTTTGGAAAGAACAATGATTGATTCTGACCTATCCTTCAATAGATGGGCTCTGGCCTTCCTACAAGTCATAAAATGAAACTGCTTGCTCAACAAAGCCTAAAAAAATTGAAATGGGGCTGGCATGGTGACTCAGTAGGTAAAGGTACTTGGCACCAAGCCTAACCACCCGAGTTCCCTTGTTGATGCACCTGGTAGGTCCACAAAAGTTACCCCCTGACTCCCATATGCACAGTGTGGCATACACATCTAAATGAAATTTTAAAGTAGGAATTTTTCAAAAGAAAAATATGGATAAAATCAGGCCCAGCTGTTTTACCATGATCCATTTCATTTCCTGTAGAAATATACCAACTAGAACTACTCCATTTTTTCTCAGTTAAGTGATGATTTTATATTAATAACCCATTCATATATACTTGTATTTTCAGGGTATCTGAATAGAAATTCTTCAGCTGGTGGATGGTGACTTTTGAAGAACAACGGCTTTGGTGACAACTTTTCTGGGTGGCTTCTAGACAGTGGTATTTGTTACGTCTTTTGACATCTTAAACATTGGTTTGTTATTCTTTTGCAAGAAGAAAATGAATTTGTCTGGTTTACCTGTGTTACTGTATTGAGTATGGATAAACTTCAAAGATTTTAAATTGCCTTTAGGTGGGAGAAGGAAACTTTATATTTGTAAGAAATATATTTCATAGTTTCTTAAAACACCAAAAACAAAAACAAAAAACAAAAAACAAAAAAAACCAGAAAACCTTTGCAAACTTTTGCACATTATACATACAGTGCCTATAAATCTCATTAGTAGTTTTGGTTTGCACTTAATGTTTTTAGCATTTGAAAAATAATGCTCTCATCTTTTGTCAGTATTCTGATTTCTTATTACCTCTTTTCCTCTTCGGCTTTTGAACTGTATTTGATGTATCTTTGGGTTAATGTTGATGAGTCAAGTATAAAATATTATACGTTGGGCACATAACTCCTTTGGGGCTGCTAGTAATAAACTGATAGATAACCTGGGCAAACCAGGGAGCACTAGTCTCCTTTTGTACCTGATTTCTCCTTTACTAGGAATGAGGACTTCTACTCATGGTCAGAGAGGTCACACTGAGACTTGAATTAAGTCAGCAGAAGAGCAAAGTACAGGCTAGTGATGCTACTGCACAGCAAGTTTCAACACTGAAGTTGGAATTCTTAGAATATTCATGTGGCTTAAACTATACTGGTTTACCATAATATTAAACTATGGTTTCCATTGTCTGCATGAGCCCCAGATTGCAATCATTTGCTTAGAATCATTTGCCCCACTGTCTATATGTGGTTTTATGGAAGTCAAATTTACCAAACACAAAAATTAATTTCTTTAAAATAACATACATACACATATACATACAGTATATATATATGTATATACTGAAATTTAAAATCTGCTTCTATATCATAGCAGGTTAAGATATCCTAATATCTTTGAATGGTATCTCAGATTTTTCTGAGCACTGCACTGGTATTATTGATGGAATTTTGATAAACAATTCCATCTATACTTCCTGGCATTGAATGCTGGAAAAAATGTCAGGTATATATAAACCAGACTTTAATTTTCTTGTTTCCAGAGACCACAGCCTTCTTTGCCATCAATGCAAAGATTTTATTAGGATTTTAATTAACTTTACTAAACATAACTAACATCACCAGTGATTCCTGGGGGCAGGTAAGACTAAGCAAAAGTAATAACACTCATAATGAACATGATACTTGTTAACTGCATCCAAAAGTACTTTCATCCATGCACCTTTTAGATGTCAAATTCTACCTACAAAAGTGTTGAATTCCCAGTCTCATAAAAAGGGTGGTACTGTTCTGTTTTCAAGGCACTAACAAGAAAAGAATATACTCCTTGAGAGATTTGAACCCATTGGTGTCTGATACTTGGATCTGGGCAATATAGGTGTTTGCTCTTTTTGTTTCTAAAAACATGTTGAAACCTTTGACATTGACAAATATACCTCCAAGGCTATGGCTGTAGTATATAATCATCCATACACATATAGGAATATTTTCAAATGATGTAACAAAATACATAAATTTAAGAGTGCCTATAAAATTATACATACACTTAAGGTACCAATAATAGTTTTCTTAATTGGGAATATCCTCAAGACTTGAGCAAACGCTCAATTCACAGTGACTTGCATAAGTTATGGAACTAAAGAAGTCCTTTTCATTCTTTTTTGCCTTTTACTTTTTAAATCCATTTAGTCAAGAGAAAACAATTGCAGCTATCTCCTTAGAACAGATGGATTTTATTACCAAAAAGTTGCTGCACATATAATATTTTATCTGTTTAGAAAGTGGGATTTTCCAAAAGTGTAAGTGACCAAAGCAAAAATCAGTATTTGTGTTTCATTAATCAAGATATAAAATGCAATTAAAGGAAAATATTTTACATGAAAATCTTGGCTATGTGTTCTTTTTTAGATGTAGTCTGTGGAAAAAATTACAAATGATTTATTTTTATTTTATTCTCAAGCCATCACATGGAGTCACTATAAAAAAATAGAATTGTAAACACATTCGTTGTAGTTTTGATATGAAGTATCCCTCTAGCAGGCTCCCATGTTGAAGTTTTCGCTCCCAGTTGGTGGCAATAGTAAAAGAGAGGAGTGGATCATGAGGGCTCAGCTCTTTAGTGGGTTAATCTATTTGCAGTCACCAGTGCATTTATGACTTCATACTTGAATGGGCTATTAGGAGGTAGATGATAGTTGGAGGAAGTAGGTCCAGTCTGTGGGAGTATGCTGTGACAAAGTACACTGTGTCCCCAGACTACTCTCTGGCTCTTCTATTTTCTGGCCACTATTAGGTAAGCATTCTTCCCTGGAAACTGTTATGGTTGCCATAATGTCTTACCATAGGCCGGTTAACAAGAGATCCAGCAAACCACAGACTAAAAGCACTGAGCCAAAAATCTTTCGTTTGAGCTGATTTAAGGTATTTTTTTAGAGCAATGAAAATATGATAATTGAGACCCCAGCCCCACAGTATCTCTATTCCATAGTATATTACAGTATATATTATTATTTTGACATTGTTCTTATCAGTCATATTCATTTATCCTGAAATACATGCCATTCATCTAAAAATTCTTATGTAAGACTTAAAGCATTCTTTCCTTGTACTAATGTAAGTGCATTGTTCATATTATCCTTTATTACTGAGTCTTCAATAATATATTTGCAATAAGTGCCAATATGAGTCATTCAGGAATTTAAAACACAACTCCCTACTTTAGGATCAGTGATTCTCCAGTGTATCTTAAAATGAAGGGTATTTCTGATACAGAATTGAATGCACTCAATTTTTTTAGGAGTGAGGTTCCAAAGGAAGTAGGTGGCTATCATATTTATACTTATCTGAGGAGGGTTCTAGCTGCACATTTTTTTATAAAGGTTTAAGTAGAGTGTGTAAAAATGACCAGTATTGCCACGACTGGTATCACCAGGTTCCCACGATTGTCCCTTGCCCTGAATGGATGAGGAGCAGTTACTAGAGACAAGAAATAGAAAAAGACTGTGTGGAAAAGAAGACTATCTCTCAGGAGGAAGACTTGTGAAAACCTGCCAGACATAAACACAGGGAAATAAATGCCTCTACCCATTCTCTCCAGAGTCCTAGAATCATCTATCAGTAAAAACCCAGAGGGCAAAGATGCCTGGTTAACTGGACGCTGCAAGGCAGCACCCATACATGAAGCCAGCAAGACAGGATGGACAGGAGACTTAGAGTGAGCAACAGGAAGGCTGCTGCACAGCCGTTTTCCAGTGTGGCTAACGATCCAAGCATTTGCTACACACGTGTCTCACTAGCCACGGTCTTGAAGAGACATGGATGAGTGTCTGGCACAGGAGGCACAGGGGTTTGCAAGCTGCAGGGCTGAAGTATGAAATGAGAAGAAGCCCCTTGGCTTCTCTGTGGCAAGGAAGTGGGCACTTGGGTTTACACTGCAGGGCCATAACTGTCGGCCAGACCCATGGCAGCAACAGACACTGAAGACAAACTTTTCTCAGACATGGTCAAGAGAAATGAAATAAGAAAATATCTTCAGTGGGAGCCAAAACAACTATCTTTAGTTTGAAAATACTCAAATTGAACAAAATTTTGTTGATTATAAATCACAGGAACTTGGTAAGAAACAAACTGTTATATTTCCAGCTTTTGTTTTTGCAGCCATAGTCTGATTTTTTCAAAATTCTTATCCATCCATCGTATGTTTTCCTCAATGGTCTCAATGGTTTGTTGAACACAACGGAGCTGAGAACCATTTTCTTTCAAGGACATGAAGAATTCTTTTACCTTGGGAAGAAAATGTGAATTTTAAAACATTAGTTTTGTTACATTAAGCAAATGGTTATTTAAAGCCAGTTAAAAGAAAAGTAGAGCCAGAACGCCATGTTGAAGGAAGTCCAAGGGGTCTGGATATGATTATGTATAACTTAACTTTGAGCTACACAAAATGAGCTCATGCCACATGATGTCAGGTTCTTTATTCTGTAGCTCTTTTATTTATTCACAGTTGCCAGACTTTAAAAAGCTTTACTGTTTACCATTTCATAATTAAGGGTTAAGAGTGTGTCTATTTAATATGGATTCTGTTACATATACACAGATAAAGACTTAAGTTTTTCAATATATCTGAAAAGCACAATGTACAGAGTAACTTCTTTGCCAAGTAAAACATTGTCAATGACATAAATGCAGTCATTTTCTGGAGCCTGTCCTTTATTACTGCCAACACTATAAAGAAATGGGACTCTCAGTAAGTTATGGTGGTAAGATCCCAAACCTTGCCAATATTTTTACTCCAATCCACAATTCCTGCTTTATTCCCTCCAGATTAAATCTACATAGAGTTACCCATAGTTCTGGAGAAATAAGAGACTTCACCACTCTCTCCTCAAAATATATCTTTTTTTCTTGTTGCATCCCTGGGTATCTGAACCCTTAAGCTCATATGATGGACAAGCTGCCTTTGTCAAGGCACTGAAAATAGTACTATTTCCTGTCTCCTTCCACAACCCATAAATTTTCACAGCACTTATCCATTTTTTTGGAGTCAAGGAGGAAGTATAGTACAAGATGTTTTATTAATTATGAATTCCAGGCAGCTAAGTCCTCAAAAACCCATATCATAACACCATGTTACAAGTTTACCAATAGCAGGTGGAGAAAGAGTGACTTTTAGAAAGATCACGTTCCAGTGAGTAATGATGCAGAGTTGTTCTAAAATTACTAAAAGTCCAGTGGCTGGGGGAGAGAGGAGACATTCCCTTCTCTCTGCCCCATCCTATGCTTCAGCTCAGTCTACTGCTGCAGGACACAAGATTGATTCCTCATTACGTTGGGCACTCAACAACTTAATAAGACATCAATCATTTCACTTCACTTATTATCTAAAACATTTCATTTATCCTTGAGCCCATTGTGGTGTCATGGCTGAAATGTGGACTTCTACACAAGCTCTAGCAAAGCCAGCTTTTAACACTTCCCCTTGACCCCAGATTGTGTCTTCTGTCACACAGATTCAGCTGAGTACCCAATTCAGATGTGCCTCACTGCTTAGAAGGGTGGAAGAAAGTCCCCTTTTGTAGAATTTATATGTCTGTTAGTCCCTCTGACTAGACAGTTTCATATCAATTTCTTATTTTTGCCTGACCACTAGGAAGCTCTGTGATAATTGTCAAATGTCATTGCAATAAGTATCATAGTTATCTCCTATCTTCTATGCAGCTTTTTATTCTTTCATATTTATTTTACAGATGGACCTTGTAGATGCCTAAAATTCTTTTTTTTTTTTTTTTTTTTTTTTTTTTTTTCAAGACAAGGTTTCTCTATGTAGCTTTGCGCCTTTCCTAGAACTCGCTTTGGAGAGCAGGCTGGCCTTGAACTCAGAGATCCGCCTGCCTATGCCTCCCGAGTGCTGGGATTAAAGGTGTGTGCCACCACTGCTGGCCTAAAATTCTTTTGAGAAGTATATGATA